CGTAGCTATATATTATTAGCATTGTTCTTCCGACGTCTGATTTCTTTTTAATTATAGGAAATACGTTTTTCTAAGGTACATAAACTTTTGGGATTGACTGTATAGCCAGTACATCCTTAAGCACATGACGAATGCAATTGACTATTATTTTATCGCGTAGCGTTTGAGATGGCCATGTTTTTCTTTTGATATAGCAGCTGTCGCGTCCTGTATTCTATTTGGGAATATTCATTATTCATCGAATCTGCTTTAGCCGTATTAAATGTCCATTAAATTGCGAGGACGCTTAAGAACACAATGTACTTTCTGCAACGTGCGTGGCATAATATACGTGACGAATCGCTTTGAATTCCAAGAGATGACGCCAACGAAGACCGTCAATGTCAGGTTTCCCGCGATGTCCTAGAAAATGAACGAATTGCCCGTCCGTATTCCCTACACCTCGCCGCTCGATCGCAATACAGAATTAAATATAAAATACCAATGTCAATTGATTAACACTGTAGCATCTTTGAGAATTACCATTTTATTGGTACCAAGAATAAGAACGCCTGGAATGCAATTGAGAATAGTTTCAAACGCGTACACTGTTTATATTCGTTCGCTCTATATAATTAATTACTGAATTCTTATGAATATACTGAATTATGTGTATCTCTACCTTAATTCATTTTTTTTAACTCTTCAGATTATTCACGTTCGTTTCAATAATATTTTACCAAACAAAGCTACATTTTGCTTAAATATCAAACACATGCACATTACGAAATTGTACGAATGTTAATCGTAAAAAATGCAACAGTTGGCTGAGTTTTGATTAGATATAATGAAATCGTCTTTAAACTGCTTGGTGTAATGACTAAATTAATTAATTGCTGAATATAATACTTGTCCCTGATTGCGACTATTAACTATTGTAGTTCATTGATACAGCCTTTTTTTCCAACCTGGCGTTATGTAAGATCACGATCTTTTCAATTATGATAATTGCACACAAGAATGTTTTATGCGATTGCATAATAAGTGAAAGAGAGATATCAATGGTGCGCGACTAGAATAAGATGGATTGAAAAAAAATTAAATTCCGATTGAAAAGCGTCGTCGTTTGCACTGGATTAATTTGAAACGAATGAACCTTCATTTTGCATTATAATTACGACGATTAGAGAGGAATGCATCGATTTGTAATCTACCGGAAGTTTTATGCTACAGGAACCGAAACGTTATAACTGCAACGGCCTTGTATAAAATGAAGAGAGATCTTGCTGTATTCGTTGCGATTAGAGATAAATCGTATTATCAAAGTTGTTGGAAAATTAATAAACATTTCTCTATTTCGATGTTTAATTTATGATTTACAGCATGGTTTGGATGCAGGCATACGCAGGCCCTCTTGATGGCTATGGGGTTCTTTTGCTGCTACGCTATTAGGGTGACCACATCGGTGACGTTAGAAGCAATGACAGATTCTTCTAAAGCGAATCCCGACTTCCCAGTATGATTGTTTTCTTATCTTTCGTATCACCGTTAATTAATAAGAATTTGTAATTAATACTTTTCTACACTCACATTTTGTATTACATGACATGGCCTCGTATCGTAATCAATATAATTGTTATTTTATCTTCAAGTGTAGCTATTACACAATTTCAGTTGCATACAATATAGATACGTTTACGATTGCTTGTTCAAATACGATAAATTGCGAGATATAAGATATAGAGACCTAGATTTTATAGCACGTTAGATTATGCTATATTTAGTAGTAACGCTAATTGTTTTACGTTGATCTAAAAAAGTAATTATATTGTAGGAGTTGCCATGGAACGATAGGACTAAAGGCGTAATCCAAAGTTCATTCTTTTGGGGATATGTTTGTACCCAAATTATCGGCAGCATAGTGGCACAACGTTGGGGAGCTCATAAACTTTACTCGTTGGCACTATTCACTTGCGGGTCGGTAACACTTTTGATACCTGCGCTCGCTCAGTATTGCGGATGGGAAGCGGTTTGCGCGTCCAGAGTAATCGCCGGTTTATTTCAAGGCTCGGTCCTTCCGTGTCTTCACACGTTGCTCTCGAAATGGGCTCCCATAGAGGAAAGAGGCAGATTATGTAAGTACCGAACGGAATTCGTACTCCCAAAATAAAATTAACTCATTCGCACAATCATTCGTCGATTGGTCAATTTAGTTATTAGCGTACTTAACGAAATACTGCAGACTCATCCTGGGATAAATATCCTAATCACAGTATCCAAATATGTTTCGAATACTCGTTTAGACTTTTGTACCCACTTACTTATCCTATGACCAGTAGTATCTCTAATTCTACATTTCTATCTCCCACGTCAACTGTTCTATCTTTAGACTTGTAAATAATTTTATATCTTTATTGTATGTAAAATTTAGCGACCTTCGTTTACGCTGGAGGCTGGATCGGAAACGTAATTTGTTTACTGAGTACGGGTTTATTATCTGGCTCTTCCTTGGGATGGCCCAGTTGTTTCTACATTTGGGGTACAATAACGGTTCTCTCGAGTATCTTATTCTTCACCGTTGGCAAAGAATCACCTAATGAACACCTGAGTATTCCGCAAGACGAAAAAGAATACATCGAAACTAGTCTTGGAATAATGGAGACAGAAGAAGTGAGGATATTAATAAATTTTATTTCACTTCTTTGAGATCGTATTATAAAATGGTAATTTTCTTTTTAGAAACTATCGACTCCATGGATTAAAATATTAAGCAGTCGTCCAATGTGGGCGCTGTTGGTGACCCAGTCTGCCCAGAATTGGGGTTTCTGGATGCTTTTATCTAAGATTCCTTCGTACATCGGGAAAGTCTTCAATTCTAATATCGAACAAGTAAGCAATTTTTTTTTTTTCATTTTCGCACAATTATTTATGCATCTCGATTACGCTGTACCGTGTGATTTTTTTTTAGAACGGAATGGTGACCGCATTACCGTATCTTACCGCGTGGCTTCTCAGTTTCCCGGTAAGCTTCATATCGGATCTTTTAATCAGACGGAATGTTTTAACGATTCAAGCGTCAAGGAAAGTTTGTAACACGATCGGGCAATGGATTCCAGCCGTCGCGTTGATCGCGCTCGGATATGTCGGTAAAGACCACCAAGACATAGCGGTAACTCTTTTGGTAGTTGCTGTTGCCAGCAACGTGGCTATTTACTGCGGACATAATGTCAACCACATGGATCTTAGCCCAAACTTCGCCGGTCCCTTAATGGGCATCACGAATACCGTAGCGAACATATGCAGTATTTTGGCACCCCTAATTTGCGACATTATCGTTACGCATCCGGTACGTACAGACATCTTTCATTCTCTCGCAAACACTATACGAATGAAATTATGTAACGATTCGCGTTTTCGGTTTTTAGACGAACGTGGAGGAATGGAGAAATATATTCTTTTTGTCGTCTATAATATATTTCGTTGGGAATTCCGTGTTCATTCTATTTGGTACGTCTCAAATTCAACCGTGGAATGACCCCATGGAGAAAAGGAAAGACGCCGATGTGAATTCCGGTACGGAATCAACGCAAGAGAACGGAATACCGCATAAAATAAAGGATATCGAAAATATGAGCGTGGACAAAGACACATGATAGTACCATGACATAAAAATGTGCAAATGCTGTGATCGAAGGAACGTATGGCAATTGTTATTATAAGATTATGAATGTTTACGGATGATAAAAATGCAGCTATACGAAAAAGGTGTAAGAGCACGTACGTCCATAAATACACAAGGCTACGTGTCACAATACTTACAAGAACCAAACATTTACTTGATTCTTATATCTTTAGCGCATTAACATCCACGATCTAGATATAGTTCCGAATGCATACGGAATGATGTGTGAAATGTGTGTGCTGTATATAAGTATTTATAGGCGTGTATTATTGTATTTAATATTATTTATTATAAAATCGTATAAAATTTTAAAGATATATCATTTTGACAATATTAGATAATTCATTCAATATAATTATTCTCTTTTGGAATGTTGTTCCGGCGTGGATTTACAAATTGTTCGTATAAGGAACAGTGTACCTAGAATTGTTAATAACAGTGTGGTATAAGTTACTGTAGGCCACATACCTTCTTCACCAACTGGAGTTATCCACTCGTATTCTGTAGCCTGTAAAAATAACAAATATTTGAGCATACTATTACTTGTAAAAGTATAAATAAGTTATCTTTTATCTGATTGATTTATTACTTACCATAGCGTACGGAATCTCTCTCCACTTAGGCATAATCTCTGCACATGGGACGCAGAGATCCAGTTTGGAAACTCTGTATTCTTTAATTCTTTGTTTGCAGCCCAACAACAACTTTGGTTTAGGCAGTGTAGTATGCATATATTTCTGACTTCCATTGGCATATTGATAACGATGATGGACTGGGATGCTCACGTTGCATTTTGTATTGGTTAAAGGTGCACAAACAGTTATGTCTTGAGTTTGTGCTTTCTCTGCGAATAATTCGACATTAGTTTCTCCACTAGCACATGCTGTGCTCTGAAACAAATGAACCATTGTATTTATTGTAGATATATTATCGATGATTAATTCTTCTTTTATATTTACTTACCATTCCCAGTCTTGTTAAATGATCTAATTCATTAATGTCTGCATATAAAGAGGATGGAAGTCGTAAATATAAAGCAGTGTAACAGTCTTCTATGAAATCGTCGAAATGTATGTCGTACATCAGATTCCTGTAAACGAGATTATTTGTTAGATATAAATTTGATGATTCTTGCGTTATCTACGTCTTTTAACGAAGATTCATTCAATTTTTTATATCTCATTAACCGTAACTAACCTATGAAATCCCGTTCCTTCTATTTTCAGCGAAATACTTGCATTTATCGGCTCACATTTTACTGTAGTTATGAGCGAGGCAAACAAGCAAAATAAATTAATTTGTATAAAACATTGTTTGATACGTACTGATGTCATTATTTTAAATTTTCACAGCTGACTCTTCCGGTATCACAACGTATATTTCACTTTCACAGATGTCGCTATCTATCGCTTATTTGAAATTGAAAGAAAAAATGAAAATATTTGATCAATTTATACATTGCGCTCTATTCTACCTGAAGCGTAAACACGCTGCTGTAAGAAGTTGTTGCGGCATCGATTCGAGAACAGTGCCGGACGACGGCTGGTCGGGCTGGTTCCGATGGTTCCGGTCCCGGTCCTGTAGGGTAGGTCATGTCATAAATCTATCTCCCCTCCGCAAACAGCTCATTGCGCTTTGCGTTCTATACAGCTTAATTGTATATAGTACACTGAAAACCGAAACCACCGAGGAGATACTATCTAAAATGGTACCTTCGGAAAAATAATTTTTTTTTCAAAATATCGAAATATATTCTAAAAAGCGTCAAAAATTTTATTATCGAATTGATTTAAAATTTTGCAGGTAGCTTTTTAATAGTAA